ACAGACAATCCAACAAAATGATGTTTCTCTTGACATGTTTGCATTTATTCGATGGATGACAGTAGACATACTCACAAAATTCGGGGACAAAGCAGAAACCAAGGGAATGATGTTCAAGAAAACCCTGAGTGTGATTTAAATTTTAACACATATCAGTAAAGGTACGTTGGAAACTACATTGAAATAAAAAATAAACTTAAAGAATAAGACTGGCAATATTCTATATGTCACAAGGGCTCATTTAAAACACCAAACCGGTACACATGTTGGAATTTTATATATATATTACATATATTTACAATTTCTTTTTCTTCTTAAATTTTTTTTTCATTTTTTTTTGTCATTTTTCTGTACTCATTGTAATTGGCTTTGTTAGCAAAGCCTCAAGAGTATACCTCTCTTCATTTCACCACTCATAACAAATAAAACCTACAGTTTCATGAAAAAAAAATTGAATGAAAACTGAACTGAATAAGTTCCTAAAACAGCTGGGCACTGTAGTTTTTAGCAAATGCTACTCAAACAGGACAAAATATGGCATTTGTTGAGGACTATTTTTATTTGTGGATTAATACATATTTGGTATGCTAGTGTCATGGCAGCTGGACAACCCCCATGTTCATCTTGTCACCCAGTGCAACAGTGTCAACCCTGTCTGCTAGACATGATGTTTATATACAACGTTCAAAATGCGATGTCGACCTGATTTCATGTTCTATTAACATAATGTACTGATTTGAGAGACAATGTTTATGTACAGTTAACTAAAAGCATATTTTTTCCCTGACCTTAACCAGAATGCTCTTGTTGCCTAAACCTAACCTAACCCCTAACCCCAACCACATCCCTGCAAGTCTGGTGCCGTTCATAAATGAAGTGCTTCATTCACTCAGAATAAACAACATAATCCATTTGACACCAAAAGGTAATCAGGAAAAATATACAACTATATAAATGTAACTTCTAGGAGACAGGGCTGATGGTGTGGCTCATTGATTCATTTTTAGACATTTTTAGACATCAACAGCTGTCTAGGCTCAGAGGAATAAACCATGTTATCAATACTGAATTCATTGTTGGTTTTGCTGTTTTTGAGCAAATTGAGGAATTTGTTGACGCTAAGAAAAATATAAAATACCAACACATTTATCCTTTAAGAAAAGAAAAAAAAACACATTTTGCACCACAAACACTGACTAAAGGAAAATAAGATATTACTGGACACATTACTGGTCAGTTCACAAAATAATCACTTTCCTACTTGCCCCTAGTGATATTGAGTCATGCAGATAGTATCAGTTTTATCTTCTGCATTTCAAGATGTCTCATTGTGCCACCACTCAGACAGAACAGAAGTGAGCTGAGTGTTTTTTTAAGGCGGTCAAAGCATTGGAACATTACATGCAAGGACAACAACAACAACAACAACATGTTTTTCTAAAAGAAACAATGTCCTGGTCGCTCTGGATAATTCAAAGACCTCTGTGGCCAGTTTCAATCTGAACTACTTTCTACTGATGATATATTCCCCATGAAAAGTGCGGACAAGATGTTCTCTGGATTGCACAGAGAAATTGTAACAGTAACTGGGAAACTGTTACTGAAAAAAAAAAAAAAATCCTGCTGATGAGTTTTTAAGATGTGTTTTCTTCAATTCTCTGAGCAGCAAAACTGAAATTCCATTTACTTCCATTGTACTGCAGCAGTTTCAAGGGTAAATTTCTCAGAACCGTGACACATAAAACTAAAACTCTCTATATGGCTTTATACCAAGAGGGATTTCTGTGTGTGTGTGTGTGTGTGTGTGTGTGTGTGTGTGTGTGTGTGTGTGTGTGTGTGTGTGTGTGTGTGTGTGTGTGTGAATTGAGTGAACTGACCGATTAACTCTGTTGAGGAGTCCTGACATATGGATTATTCGGGGATATGGATCATTATTAAAGGGTAGAACACACATAATAGCAAGCTTTAAGAAACTGAATAGAAATATTGATCTGCTGCAGTAGTGGTGGGATTGGTATTTAATTAACTGACGTATCTGTGTTTACTTGAGCAATCCAAAGTTTTGTTATTCTTGTGTACAGTCTGAACCTTATGAAGTTTTTCTCTGTGACTAATGAGGAAGATGTTCATAAATTCCTGCATAACTGTTTACTAACCCCGGTGTACATATTTTTAATCTATGTAATTAACATGTCTGCACAATGTCTCACAGAGAACTTTGTTCCAAACAGACCGTGTTCTCTCATGCATTTACTCTGCGGCAAAATTCACTCGCTTGTGTTGATCATCATTCCCACTCACCACCATCAGTATTCCAGTGTGCAGCTTGAGGTGTGGTGCAACCAGCAACGGGCGCAAAAACAGAATGATAAACAACTTAATCTCACTTCTAATCATGCTTGTGCAGAGTGGTAAGTGAATCACATGAAAGAGATGCCAAGATATTGTGCGTATGCTTAAATGAGCATAGCTACTGTTTGTCATTTCAACCTCTGCAGAATTACAACAGGTATGATTTTACACCGTCGGAGTAATGTGCTTTCAAGTAAAAATCAATTCGTCATGAAACAACTGATGCATCCGTGTGTTTTTACTGCCAACAAAGCAGCAGAGATTGCGGTTCATTCCGGGGCAGGTGCAGCGGCCTCATTAGTGAAAGTTATCCATGACAAAGTTGTCAGTTTGTACAAAAACAAGGGAGCCAAAGCCACACATTAGGCTGTGGCCTATTTATTATGGATATGAACCACCCTCTCATTCAGAGTTCAGATCATATTAAATGGTATGACTGTGACAATGCAGACACAATTGTCAATAGCAGTCCTTTCCTGAGGTTTTAACATAGACTGAATGATAATTAGTTTCCCTTTGTTGTCCTTATCTCTTACCTGCAGAAATGGCCAATTTATGCAGGCTGCACCCTGGCCAGGCAAAGTTGATGCTCCCCAGAGGAGGAAAGCAGCCATGTTTCAGACAATGGGAATGAACTCGGGGACATCTCAAGGTTGATTTAGATCCTGAGCAACATGGAATTAAATGAGGAACTAGGCCACACTGATCTTGGCCTAATGTTGACACAGCTTCCTCCCAGAATTAACTCTCATAAGGTGTACCGGCATCACCATGAGGAGTCCCGTGCATCTCTGAGATCTGGTCAAGTGAGAATAAAAATGCAAATGCCAAAAATATTGTTGAAATAGTGAGTGAACTAAATGTCAGTCCATCTTTTCAATATGAGATATGCGATTGACGTGAATAGGCGATTGAAGGCAAGTGTGAAAAGCTACAGAAGGCAGGTTATACCAACAGCTGTGATATTTGAGCTGTGAAATAAGCCTGGTCTTTTTTTTTTTTTTTTTTCTTTTTTTTAAAGAAGAAAAAGCAATTCTCTTATGTCCTTTGCAGAGATTATCATGAAAACACCCACAGTCTGTCTTTTCTTTTATCTTGTGGCTCTCTCAAAACTAATGATAACGAGGTACAATACAGAAGACAGGTGGTGTTGTTTTCATTATTGATAAGAATCTTTAGTTCTGAATATCCAAAGAGCTCCATTGATACGGAGAGCATAGCACTCTGAGGGAAAGGATACCCAGTTATTCCTGAAACATTTTGCCAGCTTTAATGTTACATTTTTCACACCACATCGCCCATCTGATCCACTTCTCCCTGGAATGACCACTTGTCTGCTCTTTACTACATCCCTGCCAAACAGATTTCATCGATCTATTCATAATCCCTGCTTCACATCCACATGTATTAGGAGCAACATCCTCCAGCCACGTTTTCCCTCTGATGCTGCTACTCTGTGCGCGCACATCAGTAAATGAATCACGTAGCACTAGAACAGCCCTTCTTCATGCGATCTTGCCAGACCTATTGGAGAAACCCCCCCAAGGCAAAGATCTGTCACTGTTCACTCATTTGCTGGAAGACGATCAGAAACTATGTTAAATGCAGCACGAAATACAGTGGAGTCTGCTTTAAAGAAGGCGTCGAGAGGATTCCGGTCAGATCTCACTGTGCAGGGAGCGGGTTTCAACAGTTGACGCGGAGAGAACTGAGCGCAAGGAAAGCGATTAATTTTGATTATCTGAAATCTTCCAGCACCCTTTTTCACGTTTTCTTTTTTTTGTGTCTCTCTCTCTCTCTCTCTCTCTCTCTCTCTCTCTCACTGGCAACGTTCGCGGGGGCAGTGCAGATGAGCATTGTCCGAATGAAGGATGCGAGAGCACTGGGTCCAATTGGACTGGATTATGGGATTATTGGACTGATTATAGGACAGTCATCGGGCAAAAGTCGCAGCCGTGCTATAGATGCTCTTGAATGACGGGAACACAAAAGGTTGGCCAGGAGTGACAGCTCTATATCCTGCTTTTATTCCACTTTGTGTCATGGGCAGGCTGTATATGCTACGCCAGCAGAACCCATATGCAACAGTGTGCCGCACAGGAAAAAAAGTAAATGCATTGTGAATGGTAACATCGGGCAATGCTGCATTTTGAACGGGCATGTCAGTATTTGCTGTAGCCTAGGTGTAGATGTCGCATGAGGGCAATGCGCTTTTGTAAGCTACGGTCTAACCTTCACCACAGAGATTCAAACCCTTTAACCTTGGATGCAGTGGGGAATATTAATACTTTATAGTCATCGATTATTCATTAAGTCAACCCCCCCCTGTGAGGAAAAACAAAGCATTTGTCGTACACTATGTTGAATTTGATCTTTAATTCATGCATTATGTGTCGTCGGGCGGTCATCTTTGTTTACAGAAAGAGTTCATCCTAGTCGAACGGCATGTGAAAGAGGTTAAAATACCGACTGAAAGGAGATAACGATTCACAAATCGATTTAATACCTAATTAGTGTGAGATCGGCGTCAACCACGCGCCTGGTTTGGGTTTAGTCCTCTAGGTTTGGCGTAATCAACAGGTTGAAAGTCAACGAGGATTTTTTTTTTTTTTTTTCTGTCTGCCACTACCGCATATCCAGTTGAAGGGATGCGTCTCTCTGTACCCATTTTCTTTCTGCTGTGGGTTAAAGCCCTGACATTGAAAAATCTCAATTATTCTGTCCCGGAGGAGCAAGGACCTGGCACTGTTATAGGCAATATAGCAAAAGATGCCGGATATGGGACCATGGAGAGAGGGAAAAAATCTAACTTCAGAGTGCTGGAGAATTCTGCACCACATCTGGTGGACGTTGACCCGGAGAGTGGACTAATCTTCACCAAACAAAGGATTGACAGGGAAACGTTATGCAGGCGCAACCCAAAGTGCCAGCTCTCTATGGAGGTGTTTGCCAACGACAAGGAAATATGCATGATCAAGATTGATATACAGGACATCAATGACAACTCGCCCAGTTTTCCTTCAGATCATGTTAATATTGATATTTCTGAAAACGCAGCTGCTGGCACACGCTTCCCTCTGACTATTGCACATGACTCAGATTCTGGGGAGAATGGGATAAAGACCTATCAGGTCACGAGAGATGATTACAATACCTTTTCTTTGGATTTAAAAGTGAGGGGTGATGGGACTATATATCCAGAGCTGGTGGTCCAGAGACCTCTGGATAGAGAGGATCAGAGTCATCACACCCTTCTCCTCACAGCAATTGACGGCGGGGAGTATCCAAGATCAGGCTCCATGCAAATTAACGTCAGAGTGACTGATTCCAATGACAATAGCCCAGTTTTTGAAAAATCTTCCTATGTGATCGAGATTCCAGAGAATTCGCCTCCTGGGAAAGTACTTATAGATTTGAATGCCACTGACCAAGATGAGGGGAGCAACGGGCAGGTGGTCTATTCCTTCACTGGATATGCATCTGAGAGAATCCAAGATTTGTTCTCTATTGACCCCAATACTGGCGTCATCAAGGTCCAGGGAGAAATTGACTATGAAGAGAATCCAATCATAGAGTTTGACGTCCAGGCTAAGGATCTGGGGCCCAACCCGATCCCAGGCCACTGTAAAATTACTGTGAAAGTGCTTGACAAGAATGACAACTCGCCAATAATAAGTTTTGTTTCTGTCCGGCAGGGAGCCATCAGTGAGGCAGCACCTCCAGAATCTGTCATAGCACTGGTCAGAGTGACAGATAAAGATTCTGGCCGTAATGGTCAACTTCAGTGCCGGGTGCTGGGAAATGTACCGTTCAGACTGCAGGAAAACAATGATAATTTTTACACACTGCTCACTGACAGACCTCTGGACAGGGAAATGAAAGATGAATACAATGTAACAATAGTGGCGAGAGACAATGGGATCCCTTCTTTGAACTACACTAAGTCGTTTACTGTGAAAATCTTGGATGAGAATGACAATGCGCCACGCTTTACAAAGACTATGTATCTGCTACAGGTGCCTGAGAACAACATCCCAGGGGAGTATTTGGGCTCCGTTCTGGCCCACGACCCAGATGTAGGTCGAAATGGAACTGTGTCGTACTCCATTCTGCCGTCGCATATAGGAGATGTTTCCGTGTACACCTATGTGTCTGTTAATCCCACCAATGGAGCCATATATGCCTCACGCTCTTTCAACTATGAGCAAACAAAATCCTTTGAGTTCAAAGTTCAGGCTAAAGATGGAGGATCTCCTCACATGGAGAGCACCTCTACAGTCAGGGTCAATGTTCTTGACGTCAACGACAATCTCCCAGTTATCATTTTACCCCTCCTGCAGAATGATACAGCTGAAATCCCAGTGCCTAGGAACGTAGGTATTGGATACATCGTGGCGACAGTGAAAGCGGTGGACCACGACCACGGAGAAAGTGGCCATTTGACCTACGAGATCACGGAGGGAAATGACGACCACCTGTTTGAGATGGATCCGGTGGGAGGAGAGGTCAGGACTGCCCACGCTCTTTGGGAAGAGGTCGCCCCTGTGGTTGAGCTGGTGGTGAAGGTAACTGACCATGGCAAGCCCCCCTTATCTGCCGTGGCTAAGCTGATCATTAGGGCGAACACAGAAACGGCGCCGGGTGGGGGTTCCAGCGCGAGCGGGGAACAGCAGCACTGGGACGTATCCCTGCCCCTCATAGTTACCCTCTGCATTATCTCTGTCATGCTCTTAGCAGTCATGACCGCCATCGCTGTCAAGTCCAAGCATCAAGATAAGGAGACTGGGAATTATAACTGCCGCATGGCTGAGTACTCCAATCCTCCAGTGGGGAAGGGCAAAAAGAAAAGGATCAACAAGAGTGACATCATGCTGGTGCAGAGTGAGATGGAGGAGAGAGATTCTGCGAGCCGGATGAATGTGGTGAGCAGCCCCTCACTCATCACTTCGCCAATATGTTTTGACTACCAGAGTCCTCTGCCGCTCACACTGCCCAGGTCAGAAGTCATGTACCTGAAAACCACCCCAAACAGCCTGACAGTCCCCAGGGCAGGTTGCCACTCCAGCTTTGCCGGGCTTAGCACAGACACTCCAGCGAATAGGATGTCAGTGATACAGGTAAGGAGGATGCTGCACCGTACTCTTTATCTGCCCTTTATTCTCGCTTATCTGCACCCGCTGCTTTACCACACAAATCTGACAAAAGAAAAGTAATCGACTGAAAAAGAGAAACTCTGTCACTGTGAGCACACATCATTATTTCTCCCCCTGTTATGACAGTATGGAGCATTCTCTGTATATGAAGCATGATATGGCAACTTGGTGTCAGAATATATTCATGTGTTGTAAATGGCATTTCACTAAAGAGAGCTTTCCTTTTTTTTTTTAGAGACTGCTGCATTGTAAGTCTACTCGTGCAAAATGGTACAGGTGGTCCGCATAATCAGAAAGTCCTCTCAGTTAGACATGCAAACAGTGTGAGTCTTGAACAAGGCTGCTGTGACCCTGCCAGATCCACTGCTATAGAGTGAAAACAAAACCCTGCCTGAAATGTGGGATTGGACAGGTGTTTGAGCAGCTTGTCCGATCACATTACTGAACCAATGTGCACCAGGCAGCTAGATGCACACAGCATAACCTTACAATCGCATTTTTCGCTCCCCACAAATATGGGCCAGATCCACCCATCCGCATCCAAAGTTGGCACGATAAGGCCATTAATAGGGTGCAGCCTTGCCTTGTAGAGATGGCAGGGTTGAACACACAAGCCAGCTAACATGCTAATTTGACAGCATGGGCTTGTAGTGCTGTGTAGCACACCAGAATTATCTGTTGTAAACGATGTAAATATCTAGGACAGTCTCACAGACAGTCTCATTTGGAGATGATAACACAGATGACAAGGCCTGGCACTGTCACCAGTCACTAGGGTACGTGGGTGTGATCAACACAAACACATTATTCTCAAGATAGGAAGGGGAAAAAAAAGGATGCTGATGACAGTGGCTAATGCTTTACTCCTTTGCCTTGCCAAGGAGGCACATATGGTCACAATGGAGATGTGCTCTTATCACACCGTCATCACTGGCAGGTGCTCTCTGGCTTTTATTGACATCTTTCAGGTGCCATAATAAATAATATAAGACTCTGAAAACCAGGCAAGAATGTTTCTTTTCCTGTCTGAACCTCATGTTTCTCAGGCTATTGTTGAAAATTGCATGAAATTTTTAACATGATCAATGCAAAATATCATTTTTCTTTCCTTTCTAGACAGAAAATTTTCCCTCAGAGTCCAATTACGCTGGCAGCAGGCAACCATTTGTTCAAAGGTAAGAGGTCTATCCAAAGGCTTCCTTACCAGTGCATTTAGCTTCTTCATCTTTGTATCAAGGCAGCTGACTATGGCTATCAAATACGAACACTCATGCAGAGGTAATGGCAAGTTATGTTTTTTTTTTCTCTTCCTTCCATTCTGCTGCAGCTCAACATTTAAGGATGCAGAACGAGCAAGCCTCCGAGACAGTGGCCATGGTGATAGTGACCAGGCTGATAGTGACCAGGATACTAATAAAGGCTCACACTGCGACACGTCTGCCAGGGAGGCCCTCAAGATGAAAGCAACAGCAGTTAATGGCCAGCCTTTTGAGCAGGGTGAGTGGACGCACTCTGTTCCTGACATCTGGAAGATGCCTAACTGACTCTTGTACCAGACATTAATTATACTATATGCACTGAGAACATGCACGCAGTTCGCTGGTGTTTAAATGGAAGGTCCACCAGCACCTGGGTACAGCTGATGGAGACATTTAACATTTAACGTGGAAGAGGTAAATCGAGACTGTTATTAGATGCAGGTAGTGTTACTTTGTACCGCTTTACATTGCAGACAGCCTGAGCTGTGTTGCAAAGATGACATGAAGGCACCGGAGTGGAAGGTAGATGGCAGTTCAAAAGGATAAAAGAGTCCATTGGCTGAAGGTAGAATGTTCAAACATCTTGTGTTTGATTTAGCCATCAAACAAACTCATATGCATGGCAAAGTGTGCCTCCGTCTGTGTCTTTTTTGATCATGTCATTATTTGAGCACAGCTTCGTCGCATGCATGTCTTCAACAACACGACAGAGACAAGAAAGCATGATAGACACTTGCAGTGCAAAATGACAGGTATTTCTGGTGCAACATGACAGAGTGTTTCCACCCTTTGCTTGAGAAGATTTTCTCAGTCATTATCAGTTTTGCCGTGGTTACACTGTTTTGAAAGGAGCTTTACTTTAAAACTGAAAATAGAAATGTTGAATGTTATTTCACAAATCTCAAACGATCCCGATTTCCAGGAGCATAATCACAGATGATTGTCAGTTGGTTGCAACCTTGGTCGACCTGATAGGGGCTGATATATTTAGCTGTTGTGGATATTAACTGAAAATATGAGAGCAACTCTCACTGGCGAGATAAAAGATAATGCAGGGACTTCAGTGAAGTGGTGGTGTTTCTCATTTCCTCGTGTGAGCCTTGGAAGAGAATGGCTGTGGTCATCAGGTCCTTCTGCAGCAGCACTTTCCACACCATTTACATCGCTATGAACTGTTTGTTTGTGGCTCGCTCAAGAGGGCAGAGATGGGAACACTCTTGTGGCTGCCAGAGAGATGTGTGAATCTCTCTCTCCCCTCTCTCTCTCTCTATCTATCTCATTTTTGTGTATGTGTGAGAGTGCTTCTGTGTGTGTGTGTGTGTGTGTGTGTGTCTGTGCGCCATGAGGAATTATGGCAGACCAAACTTGACTCTGTGGGAGGTGTAAATTCAATCACAATTTTTTTTTGCAGCACATTTCTGAGTCTGATTCAGTCCAAGTTCTGAGGCCAATCACATGCAGAGATATTGAAAGAGATGTTTTGTACATGCGAGACTGAATATTTACATGTGCAGCGCTGACGCCTGCCGGACAGGAATGTCAGTTAATTTATAGAGCTGTGTTTGTAAGATAAGAGAAATAGAGGAAATGCAAAGAAGTGAGGTGTTGCTTTTAATATTAATGGCTTTTGCTAATGCTTTTCCTGTATGTGAGAGAATTCAGTTAAAGAGGAAAACTAATGGCTAGATTAAATGGCGTTCTCTCTTGTGGGGTTGGTCAGTTGAACATTAAATGGTGTCACTGTCTGCTGACTACAAGATTTAAGATCTACATTATGCATCATACCTTAGACCTGATCACACAGAAACATCACCCTCCAACCCACGCACTCCTTCTGTCTCTTGCTCTCTCTCTCTCTCTCTCTCTCACACACACACACATATACACTCACTCACACACACACACACACACACACACACACACAGGTGCATTTATTGAACAACAAAGCCAGTGTTTTGTAGATTTTGACAAGATAGAGCTATTATCCAAAATGGAGACACCACAGAATTTTAGTTCCAAATGCACCAACACAAAAGCTTGTGGGTTAAGTAGTATTGCTTTTATGTCTTTACCTTTACCATCCCTGTAGTCTCCTGGCTGCTTTGATACAGGTAATATATGCACCTGTGCAGCTTCCACTATCATGCACTCTGAATATTTATTCACTCTCACAGACACCAGATGCACAGTGGGTATGTTGCTAGGCTTTTTTCTGATTCTATTTATAATGGGCAGTCAGTTTCTTTGTTTTGGAGCATGTTGTTGTTCCGTTCACAGTCAGCCATAAGATCACAGCTACTTTGTCACTTTGTCCTGATTCTATTATCTGACAATGTATATGCAGTGGACTATACTGCATAAAGCCATTGTATGAGTCTGTCATTTTAGAGCTGTTATTTAACACATTTTTTTTTCTTTATTCACTGATGAAACGGAAAATGGAAATTAAGGGACAATGCAGGGCACATTAGACGAAAGCATCGTTATTTCTTCATCCTCTTCCTTCAACATTTTTGTTATAAAAAAATGCAGATTGTACATCTACTAAGAATAGTGTGAAATACTTTGTTTTGTTATGAATTGGTACTTGTAGTTAATAGCTTGTTCATACATTTTATGCTAGAAAAGCGATAGTGTGCGATCATGAGGGTGTGATCATAATGGGAAAAATAACACAAATCTTTATCCCTCGTAAGCACTAATGGCAACACTTGATGTCCCCCTATAAGTATTCATAAATATTTGATGAATCGCTTCTAACCCTAGTGTAGCTGTAAGTTGATAAAAGTGATTATTAATGTTTTTGTTAACAGCTATAACTTGTGGGCACCCATAAGTGGAGGCTATAAACAGATAATGAATGTCAGATAAGTTACATTCTGACTTTATCTGCTTACAACTATATTATAGTGTGTTGTAAACCATTTATTTAGTGTTTACAGACTGCTCATAAATGCTAAACAGCGGGATTTAATGCATCACCGCATTAAGAATTACATTTTGTGTAAACGTGCAGACACAATCCTTCAACTACTTTTTGTTATAAAGGAAGATACAATAACACACACACACACAAAAAAAAAAAATCCTTACTCTGTTGTTGCTGAACCTTATAAGCACATACATCCCTTTGCATCAGCATCATCTGCTAGCTCCTCTGCAGCAGTGAGAGGTACCATGGAAATGAATTCAGCATCTCCCTGCTTCTCCTCGCTCATGCTTATTGTTCTGGCCTCGTATATTTGTGCCACAGAAATACTTTTCTGTATGGTGCTAGGAACAGAGACGGAGAACCACAAGTGCGGGGGGTTGGGGGGATGGGGGGTGTAAATTGTGATCTGGAGTGTAGATGCTTCAAAGTGTAGCACTTCTAATATTCTGGTTTTACCAAATCAAAGCCATCATTTAGTCTTTTTTTTTTTTTGATGTGGAATGCATTTTGAACTCAAATGAGTATTTTCTCTTGATCTTAGTCCTGACAAAGATAGTGTAAGAATGGCGCATGCAAAGAATGGAACCACGTATAAGTTCATGTGACACGACAGGAAAAAAGATCACAGTATGCAGCCAGAAATTTAAGTGTAAAAATGGTTTGTAGAAAACTATAGTTACATCTTGGTGCGCCACTAACTTAAAACTGATCAATTATTAAAAATAGACTTTACTTCCCCTACTTTATTACATACTTCAAGACTTTAATGGCTTCCCTGCTTGTTAGCTGGCACCTTACCACCAAGGATAACTGTTTATAAAGCACAAATTATCATAATTGTTGTGATCTAACTTGTTTTAAAACCTTAAACCATCTTCATGTCAAATACGAGTGATTTTGATCATTTATTTCATTTTCCTTTATTTACCCAGATAAACGTCTCATTGAAATTAAAATATCTTTTTCAAGACAGACCTGGCCAAGTGGGCCGCACAAAAACATTGTTACGATAAATCCAAACAACATCACAATATCGGGTTTAGATACAATAAAAGACTAAAGTCAATTTCCCATTAAGATGGGTAAACAGGTATGATATTCCATAATCATTCATTTTAAAATTGACCTAAATCCCCCACAGTAATCAGCACTGACAATTTTAGAGCTGATTACTGAAATGTGTTATTTACCTGCCTCATGTAGTTGAGATTTTAGCTCTTTCATTTGAGAGAATAAACACAATTCATGTATCATTATACACTGTATTTTTTAAAAGAGTATACAAATGAAAACTCTTCCAATCTTTAAAAAGATGTTACAGGAAATAAGCATCAACTGTTTGTGTTTCTGGTTAAAACAGACTGATTTGATTTTGTTGAGAGACAAACCCCATTTGTTTTCATGTGAACATTGTTTATGTAAAGCAAACAAGGTGGCTAGTGAGCTCACGCAGCTGGGTACAGCTGCAGAAGAAAAAAACTCAGCATACAAAAGAAAAGGGTTTCCCACATGATGGAATTCGCACAAAGAAAAAAAAAAAAGTATTGATGAAATGTGTCTACAAGGTCTTTGTCAGGCAAACATCTGTGTGAACAAAAAGCAGCATACAGACAAAAAGTGACAGCTCCAATTACAATTAGGGCCGATCACATGACACAAAATGACAGCCATTATTCCAAAACATTTTACTGTGCATATAAACACACACACACACACACACACACACACACACACACACACACAACACACACACACACACACACACACACACACACACACACACACACACACACACACACACACACACACACACAAAAGACTGTAGCTTTAGCCCATAAAGAAAAAGATTTAATACTTTTTATGGACATGTTTACATTGCAACAAATTTGAAACATTCTCAAAAACATTTGAAAACAGCAAAATTAAGAGCCCTAATCAATTTGCTAAATCTCTGCCCAGCCATAGTATAATTAACACAGTCATTTTGGCTGCATAAGTGCATGTGTGGGTATGTTTGTGTAGGTGTTCATGGACATGTGAATGAGCATTGCATTGTATGTGTGCCGCTGTTCACATCTCTTGGGGGTTGTGTCCCAGAGATGGTTTCTTCTTCTTCTTCTTCTTTTTTTTTGTTTGTTTGAACTTCCTCCTCGGGTTTATGATGTACCCTCCAGCAAACTGGCCAAGGCTGGTGTACAGAGGAAGGTGCTGTTGCCTTTGAACACGAGGATCTCCCCACGTCTTCTAAGGAAGAGCCTCGTCATGTGGAGCTTCCCCTTTTCCAGGCTCCATCCTCACCAGAGCCAGTTTTCACAATGAGATCAAGTGCCTCATTCACAGTTAGCCACTTGCTCGTGGTCTTTGATATCATAGAATGGCATGAGAGCGAGATAGAGAAGCCTTATTTTTAGACCAAAGCTATGATATCTGATCAGTGTAGTATCAGCTTGTGATTGGATGAAATATTGTGTTTAAAGCTTTGGCTGTAATTTTTTGGTTTCCATTTGCAGAGGCGATGAGAAAAAGCATGTGTAGTTTTAGTGTGTGAGACTGTAACTAGATGTGAGAACTTTATATTTGCTGCTGTGTTGGTTTTGTATGTGTATTTGTCTTTATGTGTATTACATGCTCATTCATTCATTTCTTGTAGTTGGACATGGCCAAAACAAGTAAACAACCAAAACTCTGCTCAAATCAGTGATCATCAGGGATGCCAATCAGAGCAAAGAGAACACAGTTATAAAAGTTAAATCAGTTAACAGAACAACTTGGAGATTAAATTTATACTTTTACAAATGAAATTGCTGTTTCGCTCTCATGTATAACAAATGAAGGAAAACTATCATTTTCTACCAATTTACAAAGACACATTTGACATTTTTGCTTCATGCCTCCACATGCAAAATACCTCGATGAATCAATGTCAAATTAATCTTGATAGGGTAGTGTAGTGGCTACAGGAAAAGAAAAAAAAAGAAAAAGAAATGACACCTTCTACATAATAACACCATGGAAATTGGTCCATTCTATGTGTCGCTCTTTTCTGCCTGCCAGGGTTATATGTGGTATGAAATGTAAAAGCCTGAGTTAGGGCACATAGATAAAGCCTTAGTACTGACACTGATACACAGTCTCACATACATGTTGTACAATCCTGAGAACGCAGCTGAAGCTATATAGTCATGGTTTAATCAAGGCCCCACTTCAATAACCAATATAAGGTCAAGTCTCATATTATACAATTACTGCTCTACAGCTATCCTTAGACCAAGTTACATGAAAATGATTTCCGCTCAACTTTTATGTTGTCACACATTCAACAGTAGTTATATATATATTTTTTTTGCAGCAACAAGATCACAGAGGTGCTCTTGTGGCAAGGACAGGTCACAATATGAGTCCACTAACAAGAAGTGAAATGAAAAATGGGCAGGAAATGCAAATGAGCTGCTGATTATGCACCAGAGTCTCTCAAAGTAATTAGAAAAAAATACTACAGGTCAAATTAATGAGTGTTTGTGCTCCTGATGTAATGGTGTTTCCAAAATCCAGTTGCACTTGGATGTTTCATTCCAGATTTGATTGACTGATTTTCACCCAGTTTTTAGAAAAAAATCAAATTAACACCTATAAATGACAATAATGAAGCCTAACAATATGCTAACTAAAAACATCCTAACTACAGAATTTCTCACCACTGTCTGACCAGAAATGATAAATATCGCCACTCATGCAAATTACACAGTTGTGCTTGTGTGTGTGTGTGTGTGTGTGTTTTCTGTTTATTTCGCACAAACTGCTGCTGGAAACAAAACATGAAAAGCACATCACTTCCTCTGCACCAGATGATATTTTCCAGGAAACACCCACACATGTTGTTGAGAATAGCATGAGCAAGATGTTTCATGAATAGGTTGACTATTTGCTACACTGACCAGTGAAGAAGCAAAATTAACTTTTTTCCTAGAACATTGTTTTGTATCATTACATTTGCATTCTGAGTCGTGTAGAATGGATAAGGGTGTGTTTACGTTGCTAAATCTAACTCTCCCATATCTGTTGCAAACAGGCTACTGGTTCATATTTTCTGAGAAATTCTAGTGATGCATACTAAATAACTTATATCAACAAAGCCACTATAGGATTTCAAGAATAGTACGGGAATTTGTGTTTGTTTGCAGTGTTTTATTGTTGTTGCTCATCCTTCAAAATGCCATCTACATTTTCTTCTAGGTTGTTTATTCTTACCCCAGCAGGGTCCAATAACAAATGTTTAACTGTTTTTGCAGAGCAAGACAAATCAGTCCACTGCACGGATGAATGTCGTGCACTGGGACATTCTGACAGATGCTGGATGCCAAAGTTACGGGTAGGAAGCCAAGCAGACAGCGCCGATAATCGCACCAACCTTTTCATCCCTGTGGGAATGGATGCCATGGTAGAGACAGAGATTTATGGCACCATCAGCTGCAGCAGCAGAAAAACCCTCAGCACGTTTGGAAAGGAACAGCGGGACAGTACAATCCTCGTGGCCAATGTCAAACCTTACTTAAAATCGCAGCGTGCACTAAGCCCACCGCTACAGGAAAGTCCATCCGCGTCCAGTAGTCCCAGCAAGAGTAGTATGCCCCTGGACTTGGCCAACCATGAGTCCAAAGAAGAGAGGGAGGGGGGTTCAGACAGCAGTGCCTATGGCCCACCAGATGGCCAGTGCTCCCCACTGCACACCGAATTGGAGGAGCCCTCCTACCTGACCTGTGAGCTCAGGCCTAAGTCCCTGTCAAGCGGTCTCATTCACAGCTCTGTCATCAGCCAAGAGTGTGGGGGGTCAGATTATGTCCTCGACCCGCGGGACTCCGGTAACTGACAGGTCAGGTGATCTTGCTTGCTTGCTCTCACCTGCCAGGGGTGAGATGATGATATCACAGATTAATGAGGAAGAGATGATTTTTTTTTTTTTTTTTTTTTTTTTTTTTTTCGTTTGTTTTTTTCGTTTGTTTTGTTTTGTTTTTTGACCTACAGAGGTGTCCAGACACGCATTGTATAACCAAAAACCATCTGCTTTGTATGTTTTTTGAGTTTGTGACTTGTTGTGTTTAGGTGAAATGTGTGTCCTTGACTGCTGTGAAGGTTTTGGGGGGAAAAAATCAGAGCTTACCTGACTTCAAGTGTTTTCATGGTGTACTGTACCTGTCAATTTAGATGTCTGTATTTTACACATTTCAAGCTCCAATTTTGTGAGGCTATTGAACAAATTGCTACTGTTAAGCTATTGAGTCCTGTCTGCTTTTGTACAGTGAAGCTTTCTGTCTCCATTTAGTGTATAAGGAACATCTCTTTGAATATCACAGGCAACTGAAATACATATCAGTGACGTTAAATACAAAAGTGAAGTGTCTTATGAACTGTTAATGGTGGTGCAACAGGGAATGTCCCTTTTCATAAAACCATTTGAGGTTCCTATAAAAACAATTTTTTAAGAATGTATTTGTAATTTTATTGTCGTCCTCTCTGCAGTTTATGTGAAAATAAGCTGAGCTTACACGTGAATGTGGGCTACTGTATTTGTTGTGTATTTTATTAAATTTCTATACACTGTGTGCATGGAAGGCAGTTATTTTTGACCGGTGACAACTTCTGAAGCTGTCGTGTTTTGTTTTTTTTGTTTTTTTTTTTGTTTTTGTTTTTTTTATGTGAAAGAAATGTATATATGTCTACGAGGTGCTTAAATGTGTTAATGACAAAAAATCCCTCCTCAGACGTGCCAACTTCAGCTCTATTCTGTATACCAGCACATGTTATCTAGCTGCAGTCTAGATCCAAGTTGGAGGAACTTCAAAAGAAAAATCACAAATCAACATTTTGCACAGCTATTTATTTTTAAAAGCTCAAATAAAAACAGGCACTGTGTATTAGTGCACCCAACAGAAGATGAGTTGACTTCCTCTGCTCAATGCCTACAATGTGCTGTAAGTACACATCATAAGGTCAAGATAGAAATCCTGCTCATGCTTTTGCTCTCCAATTCAAAGTCTTCAGAGCTGCTGCCAGTTAATGTCTGCTTGTGATTACAGCTTTATTTAAATATGAATGTGTCTGACAAATGGCAAGACATGAATCAAACAAAAAATGAAAAACTTAACATTCAGCTGCAACTAGCAGTTACAAGTAAAGACGTTTTGCTACGAATTCTTTGATTAGATAAAATGAAATTTTAATGATCCCTGTGGGAGAAAGTGGGTCATTGCAGCAGCAAAGGATTGAACAAATAATGCATTAAAGGTTATCACAAGTAAATATATATATATATAAAAAAGAGAGAGAGAGAGAATTATACAACAAATAAAAAATACATCATCGTCATCGAAAAGATTTCAAGGGTATATTTGTAATATCTGATATTTCATAGTCACTGGGTGCACAAGATGTTAATCTCTCTTCCTCGCTAGATTTATAAGCCCACATGTGCAAATTTCTTGTGTAGGTGCAATGTGCACTATTTACTATTGAATTAAATACAGAAAGGGAAGGTGCAGTGACAGGTTCGTGGTTCACAGACATATAACAAGAGTCTAAACCTCTGATATCCATCCACTGGCTCATTTCTTTCCCCACATAACCTGTTTTCTGCTCATTCATTCCAGCAGAAGATACGGACAGAAATGTTGCTGTGGCCAGAGTAATATAGCATACCTACTAAATCTGCTCGACATAATCCATATAGAGCGATCAAGTATAAATATGGATGTATGTTTACCAAGACAGATCACTAAATTTAGGAATTCTGGCAATGTAGAAATGTTTTGTATTTTTCATCTGTAAAACAATCACACAAAAGCCCTTTTTCTTTTTACTTGGTTAAGTTTAGTTTCTCCATCTGGAGACGCTGACTTTTGTACCCCAGCTCGGTGAGCAGTTCGAGAATGCCTTGTTTTTCATGAGCTCTGGATAACAGAATCCTGTCATCTACTGAGAGCTGACTATAAGTACGACTCAGTTTCTCCTCAGGGAAAACACATTAATTTGGATTTTGATTTGCATTTGTTTTGGTGCTGGTATTGACACAATTCCAGACCTAGATGTCTCATCTCAGCAGGCAGCTCTGATGAGCTCATCTGCATAAGTTGAAATACTCTTTGAGAGGGAGATTGCGTGGGTCACAGCAACTCATCCCATTGAAATACAGACAGAAACATCACATCATTTTATCTGTATCAGTCCCAGGGTTCTCAGAACACGGGGGATGAAGACAGGTGAGCAGAATGTCAAGTAGAAAGGGGATGAACCATTTGCTGCGACACTTACTCCTCCGATTTTTTAACACTGTAGCAATGAAGGATGTAAAACAGGTTAAACTTCCACTTTTGCCACAATTACGCAAAATTTGCTTTGAAGTAAACCCCTTTCTTAATTAGCACAAAGCTACAATACTGGTGCTTGACAAAAAAAAAAAGTGCTATGTTGTCGGGGGGAACTGAATACAGATTAAGGACTAGCATGCAGTGCTGGATGAATATGACTTGTCTCTCAGAATGATTACAGTCATAGTGAAAGGGAATTACAGACAATGAAACTGATCTGTGTAATACCTCCATTCTTCTACATTTTACATACACAAATGATCTATTCAGATGAAAATGGAATGAGCAGTGTACCATTCAGTTGTGAAAAATTGACATGCTCACCCTGAGTACTTAAGCTTTTAATTCAATAATTCAATAACACAGCCGATTAAGAGCTTGTCTTCCACCTTCACCAAATGCTATGGGAGATGGTTCCACTTGGCTGGGAACTGTTGGTGGGGAAACAACAGTGAACACAACACATAAACAATATTGAGAGTGTAGTTTTCACTTTAACCAAGAGACGTCACTGAACACAGCATGAATGCCTGCAGGGTGAAAATATTAAAATGCTGCTTCTGGATTTATTATTATTATTTGTTTTATAATGTCGAAAACAAACTTGCACATCAATCAAACTGTGTGCAGTTAGGTCATTTAAATGTGCCGCCTCTGAATTTGTTGTTAACGAGTTGTTTACTTTTTATAATACACGCTATTAATTAACTGATTCGGTTATTCATTCAATATACGCATTCATTTTTAATGAAAGAATTGTTTGAATTGTTGAAAGTGTGATCGAAACGCTCACTGGTGTGAATCTTTGTCACGCTACTTTTTACCCAAAATTGTCACGCCAAGTGACAAAATGCCTTGATATGACATGAGCTAAAAGATGACACTAATGAGTGTTTGCTATCATTTTTGTGGATTAAAAGAATAGTTATTAGTTAATAGCATTTTGGAAAAATTAGATTTTTACTTTTTGCCAAGATAAAAAGATCAATACCTCTCATGAATATAAATAAATGTGAAGCTATAGCCTGCAGCTTTCTGTCAAAGCAAAAAGATGTGAAACATGGGGACACAGCTAGCTTCCTGTCTAAAATTCAAAAAACAGGCCTTTTAGCACCTTTAAAACACATTTAATGGCAGCATGTAGCTTGTTTGTCAGGAAAACAACAGGCTATGGTTAGCACTGTGTCTAGAACCAAGCTAGCTTATTTCCAGGGTTCTTTTTGCTAAGCTAAGCTAACAGGATGCGGGCTTTAGCTTCACATCAACAACTCTCAGCAAGAAAGCAAATAAGTGTACTTCCCAAAATGTAAAACTATTCCTGTAAATATTAAGGACCTTGAAACCTTAAAATATATTATCCATCTGTTTCCTAGTTTTAGACCACATTGTGTAGCGACAGACTATTTTTCATAAGGGTGACTTGACTTGCTTGGACTTGGGGATTTGGAAAGATAGCATATTCACTCTCCTCATTGCAGCATTTTATCATTGTCCTCACAAAAGCACCAATGTTCTTCAGACAGAAATCCAAGCTGTTGTACTGATGAAACTAAGAGTACACTGGTCAAAAGGAGATGATTGCGAAAACCTCCTGAAAACACGCTGAGACAAAGCCAAACAGTTAACCAAATTGATTAATGTGTTGTTAAATTTCTACCAAGCACAGTGACATGGAAATAAATGTAAATGCCAACTTTGACTATTCAGTAATGACTTACTTAATTTGGATTCAAAGTAGCATTGTAATAATATGCATGTGTTGAAGCAACTGCACTTTTACAATTTATTTTTCCTTTGTGACTGGGGACAGACTTGACAGGGCAGTCTGGGAGGCTTTTGCAAAAATACTGTCCTTTATACATTGTTCTGCCCCAGTTCTTTGAGGAGTATGACACTGCTGACTGCATTTAGTTTTCATTCAGACCCACAGGAATTAACACCCCTTTTATTGACCCTGTCTGACAGAAAATTCCAGACTACACAACCATTTCATTTTGAGTGCCTGTGTAAAACGTGTTACTCATGGCGTTCTCCTCTGGGAGGAGTTCAAATGCATGCCAATCTGTCAATCATGATTAATGTTTAATGCCAAGAAAGGATATAGCATGAGGGAACGATCCGGCAGGACTTCACACAGGTTTCGCTATGTGTTACTGGGTCATGACACACTTTCTTTACTTTGAATTGGGCAAAAATAGTCCTCCACACGCCTTTTTAGTGACAAAGTGGGCCAATATCTGCATAAAGTGGAAAAGCTAATGCGCTCTGTCATATCCTCCAAAGTCCTGAGTCTAAAGAGCTTCACCCTTTAAGTGCTTTGTCTGCCATCACAAATAAGATGGAAAATTTAAAAGGTAAAAGAAAGAGGGAGGAAGGAGGCACTAGACAGAACGAGATGTTGTATGGAATCATGCCCAGCCTTTTAAAATCGATAGACAGTTTATTGAATCAATGCACAGTTTGGTGTAGAGCAAAACCTGTCTATCTGATTAAAGTGGTAGACACT